GTGATGGGGGTTGTGGAGGAGAGGGGAGAGGGATGGCGAGCAGGAGAGAGACAGTGATTCACACCTGCACCATCTCAAAGAGGCTGGTGAGAATTATGTTTGCTGCAGGTGTCCGTGCGGTGGTGAGGGGGCTCCGTTAGGGGACAGACACACGTGCAGACTTCACACAGGTGTGTAATCTCACAGGACTTCTAGTACACACCCATTAGACAATCTGTGCAGCGGAAGTAAACACACACACACAAATGCGAGCACACACACTAACCCTATGATTGCTCTGAGTATGTGTGAGACCAGTGACTTCCCATGTGAGACACGTCCTGTCAGAATGAGGTGTGTAAAGCAGGTGTGTGTGGTTGACTCAGAGGAAATCACTGGTCATACTTGTGCAGCCAAGGGACAGAGGGAGGTATGGCTTTGTCTCCACGGCAACAGCCTCCTTAAACCTCCGTGAGGAGGTCCAGAAAAACCAAGAGATGAAGCTGCATGCACAGAAAATTGGTTTTGAGAGAGATATGGGGGTGTGTTTGTGTGTGTGTGTCCATGTCCTCTGAAAACTCTGTATCTCCAAAATGTCTATGTTTTCATGAGCTCAGGAAAACATAGACACTTTGGAGATTTCAGCTTTGTGACTGTGCACTTTTTCAATAAACCATGTGTTTTTAGAAGAGCTGTTTCAGCGACAAAACATGAAGCAACAATTAATCCTTCTGTTAAAGTTACCAAACAAATAGAGATATGTGGTTTTTACTTCATATGTGTGTCAGTGTGTCTGAACCTGCAGTAAACAAGCATGTGTGGAAAAACACAGGGAACAGAGTAAATACAGTAAAGGTGACAAATAGTAAATAAACTGTAATAAAATAAACAAAAACATGTTCACAATACATAGCAAACTCAGATAAATACAAATTAATAGGAAGCAATGAATACAGACTATGACAAAAAGGCCAAACTACATATACACCTTTAAATATATTGGATGAAGCACAGAAGGTAACAGTATTCAAATCCCTCTTATCTTCCTAAACATATTATATCAACAGCTGAGGTACACTTTCCCATCTGAAAGGTTCTACAGAAATATTATGTGTTCGACATAGACGGCCTTGCTTGTCATCACTGGAGTCATTGCGATCATCAGGACACATTCAACACTGAGCTGCCAGCCACAGCAGAGTCAGGATGAGAAGGGCATGGAGCTATTCAAAGAACTGACATAATTAATTTGACTTTTAATGAGAGATTGTTAATTACCATGCAACGCAGTGAGATGGGGTGGCACAAGGATTGAAAATGTGTTGCACGGAGATGAAAGACTAAGCGTCATAACATAACATGTATGTGTTCATGCTGAAAGGCACGCAAGAAGTGCTTCTTGTGTGTCATCTCAGTTCCATATTTATGTTATAGAATAATACAGTTAATAAGCTTTGGACATACTTTATATGACTGGTAATAACTACAGTTATTAGTCTATATGGCCATGTTTGAAGAAAACAGAATGCAAATCCTGTGTTTATTTTAACAAGACTAAATGGCTTTAAAAAATGTAGCTTGACAGACACATGTGGGTGAGAGTGAAGTAATCTTATGTTTGTCTTACTTTTTCAAACATATTTTTGTGTATTTTGTCGTTTGTGTTTCTGATTTTCTTCACTTAAAATAAAAAAAATAAGTTATGCCATGAAGAAGCCTTCTGATCTTTGCCGGGGGGGATCCAGAGAAAATAAGGGACAATTACATTTTCCTGATTTGTTTTGTGTTCTAGTTATTCCAAATAAATCCCATAAATTAGGTTGACGTTTCTGTTTGGATGTTTCTCTCTCTCCACCAACATTCCTCTCTTTTTTAACAACAGCTTAATAATAACAAACCTTTCTAAATATCACATGGGACTTTTATCAGGGCTAAAAGAAAATCCTTGCAGGAGCCTGGACATTCTTCAGTGAAGGATCAGTGGCTGGCAGGCAGACCGTGCTGCCAGGCTGCATACCTCCCCTGACAAGCTCCACCAATCAAATGGTTATGATTTCATTTATGGTTAGGATTAAAGTTTGCCAATATAGCGAAGAAGGTGGGGTTTATATGCAGCCTGACTTCCTGGTGGGTTTTAATAGTATCAACTGGCATTAATGGCAGCAAAAGTGCAGGTGGATGTCTCTCTGTCATTTCAGTGCCCCACTACGCATACACAACACCAGCACACCTGAATATAATTCAGTCAGTAATGTAATTATTTACACCTATGTTACACAAGTCAAAGTCCGCAAGTACATTCTACTATTTACTGCACACCTTTAACCAAAGTGGAGAAACTGTGTTGCTATGGCTGCATTTATCTGCTCCTTCCCTTTTTCTGTGCCTTGTATTCTTATGCTGTAATGTTATACTGTATAACCCCAGATTTGGTGTGTGGCAATCTGATAAAACACAAATTCATTCAGTAATATGCACAACATAAGTACAGGATCAGAATGAGGCCCTACACATTCAAAGTACACCCACACATGTTTTCACTTCCCTTTTCTAATTAGACCTCTCCTCAGGAGAGTGTGAGTGTTTATGACTGAGTTTGACTGACATCTGCCTCACTTTCCTTGTTAAGGTTAACGGTACAATAACACTTTCCCCTTATTATAGGCCGTTTTCACAGCAGGAATTTCGGCTTAGCAGCAAAAGCAAAGGTGTTATTACTAACATTAATGCCCAAGTAAGCCGTGACAATATCAGGACCCCGAAACCAAAGCAGCATAATGGAATTAAGCCATCATTTGTTTTATTATTTACACTTGTGCTTTTACTGTGAAATGTCAAAATGTCTGCTATGAAAAAAGCCAGTGAACTTGTGGCTATGTGGCTCTGAGGCAGGTGCCAGCTTTGCCCGGTTGGTAATCAAGCCATGTTTGTAGCCTCTGGAGGACCTGAGGGAACATGCATGCTGTATGTAATGGTGGTGGAAGAAGTACTCTTCTTTGCTTAGGTAAAAGTAACATTAGCTACCCAGTGACATATAAAGTAGTTTTAAATGAGCTCAACCTTAAATATCTACGGCAGTGAAAAGCAACACACACATTAATATTTATCAGGAAACATCATATATATACACTAAACTGACCGGGAACATTTTACTGCACAGTGAGTACTTTTACTCTTGAATGAATTAAGGGATCTAAGTACTTCTTACACCGCTGTTTGGAGGTACTTAACCTGAGAGTGTTCATTTCTTCCTCTACTCCACTAAATTTCAAATGAAATATTGTACTTTTCATTCCACTACAGATATATAGATACTTTACACATTAAGATTTTACACTAAAATGTATGATCATTTTTATAAAGTATGATGCACTGTAAAGAAGCAAAAAGTACAATATTTCTCTGTGATCTGTAGAGGAGTATAAGTATAAAAGAAAATGCAAATACTCAAGAAAAGTACAAGTTTCTCAAAACTGCATAAGATCGCCCTCTAGTGGGGGTGTTGAGAATGACTGTGAAGATATTTCCTTCTGGATGTGTAACTCACACTCATGTCTGTCTGCAGCTCTTTCTTCCAAACCTGCAGTGACAGTGGTGAGACAAGTGTTTAGACCCTTTATTTAAGTAAGAGTAGCAATACAGCTATGTAAAAATACATTTTGGACCCCTTTAGTGTTTAATATATTTATATTAGAAGATCATTATTTATTATTGCTGCATCGGTTAAGCTTGAGGTCATTTTAACTACTTTTTAATATTATTTTATTTTCAGTTGGGAGGCAAAATCAGCAAAATCCCAATTTAAACCTATTTTCTGTCTGTACTTGAGTCTTAAAAACCTTATTTCCTTAAAACAAGTGAAACAACTCTGTCAGTGCAGTAAAAATATTTCAACCTGTTTACAATATAAATAAACTTGTTTTAAAAATGTACAAAGAGTATCTTAAGACAAGCAAACAAAAGGACAAATGGCTGCACTAATATTCTGAAAAATCAAACATAATAAAAAAATACTTTAAAAACAGGTTAGATATTAATCTGACTTTAAAGACTTAAATTACTTGATAAGAGGGACATGTTAACTTAACAATGCATCATATTTTAGAAGCTTAATATATAATTTGTATGAAAAATTACCTGCAAAGTAACTACAGCTCAAATAAATCAATAAGTCAAATAAATGTAGTGCAGTAAAAAATACAATATGTCCCTCTAAAATTTGATTTTCTAAAATCATATATTTACAACCCCAACCTGCCTTATTATTTAAGTTACAGGTGCTCATTTCATCTTTAAACAATTTAAAAACAGTACTGTAGCCTACTATGAAATGAGGTTTTAGGACTCAATTATAGACAGAAATGTCTTTATAACTTTGAGGTTTTCTACTTACTTTGACTTTTAAAACAGTTTGCTGATAATACTTCATGCAGGGTTTTTACTTGTGACGTTTTTTACGTTGGTGTATTGCTAGTTTTAATTCAGTACAGGAGTAGGCCTACTTTTTTCCACCACTGTTGCTACATAAGCAGTTTACATAACGAAGGAGCTACAGAGAAGTCAGCCTAAGTTGTTTTGGGTGTGTGTGTCTGCAGGTTGAAGCCTTACTGTGACAGTGTTACACATCTCTTACGGAGAGAAAGTCTTGGTCCTGGATCTCGCGTTCACAGATGCGTGAGCGTTTTTTCCCCTTATTCAGACCCGCAGGTTCGTGTCAGGTCACGTCTCGGCGGGGGTACACCCGTGAGTGCCACGGTGGCCGCGAGCAAAAAGGACCCCGTTGTCGTTATTTCTCAAAAAAAAAAATCTCTGCAAGACCTCAAAATCAAAACAAATCGACCACGCGTGCTTTTCCCGCAGCAATGACGTCACGTAAACCCTCCCCTTCCACCGCAAGTAAACAGAAAATATTGAGAGGAAACGTCCGTGTCAGCCGCCGTACGCGCGTTTGATGCGGGGCGTCTGCTGTGAGAGATGAAAGCGGACGTTAATGTGGCGTTTCCTGCGTGTTTTTAGCAAACTCGGGAGATTTTTTGGGGGAGGCAAGCTGACTGGCTCCAGCGCGATGAAGGGAGAGGCGGAAGTGAAGTCATTTGACAGAGCGTCCATGTTATTATTGTTATTTTGGTAGCCCTGTGATGAGACGGGCTGGGGAGCCGTTGGTCTCCGAGACACCGACCGTTAACGTTACCGCAGGGTGCCCCGGACCGACACGCCCTCACCACAACCACCACCCTACTGACCCGGAGACAGGGGCCTCGCTGACGGCTGGGTTGGGGGGGGAGGAGGGCGTGAGGACCCAGCTCCAGCTCGGCTCCTGCACTCCGGCAGACCAAAAATAAAACGGCGACAAAAACAATAACGACGTTCGTCTAACGGCTCTACTGGTGTCTATGCGGCTTGTAGCAGAGACGTGCCGCCGCAGACATGAACGGTATCACCAAGGGCCGGTTCGAGGTATGACAGAGGGAGTGGACCACCAATGGTTAAACTGTTTGTTTCTAGTAGACGTGGGAGTCGTGGGCTTGTATAAGCAAAGTGTGTGTCTGTGTGTGCGTGTGGACGTGAGTGTGGTAGACCGTGCTCCTAATTTTACATGCAGTCGGGAGTCGAGCCGTTTTGTTGGTCAAGGGTAATCCGAAATCCTGTTATTGTCCTGCCGCACCAGTAGACAGCGACAACATGGAGCTCAGGACTGCGGGACAGGAGGGCTGTGGCCGAGGGTAGTCAATATATCAGGGCCGAGGCTGGCACTGTCGCCTGAGGTTACAGGCTTTTCAGGAAGGGGGGACTGGGGCTGCAGATGGAGAGTAAATATAAACAGTGTAGCAGCATTCAATTAGTCATCACTTTGGGTTTGACAGATAACACTGCAAAACCTGTGACACCTGCTGTGATACCTGTGACTGACAGGTGACACAGCAGGGTTGGCTGGCTTTCTGAGAGTCGCTGGCACACTACAGATGGTCCTTTTTGTGTTCAAGAGCCACTAGTAATTTTTAATATAGCATGACTGCTATGAATTGTCACATTTGTTTCCACAGCCTTTTCATATTTACATTGTAATTTTTGCAAGAAAGTGGTAAACACATGCCAGCAGTCAACTGCAGTAGTGGAAGGAGCTGTCAGATCTTGTAAAAAATAAGTAAAACTAGCAATGTTTACAAGTGAAAATCCTGTATTAGCAGCAAAATGTACTGAAAGCATCTACAGTAAACTTACAATGAAGGCAGAATGATCCCAGTCAGTGTTATATTACTGGATGTTACTACTGATTCACATTTTACTACTTTATACACTGTTGGGTAGTTTAATTTATAACAAAATATCATATTTTAAAATGTGATTATCTGCTTTGTATTTAAGACACTAACTACAGCTGTCAACTACTAAAAGTACAATATTTGCCTCTTAGATGTAGTGGAGATAATGTATAAGTAACATAAAATACAAATACGTATTGTACATGTACCTCAAAACTTGAGTAAATGTCTTACTAATACTTCATCACTGCTCACCTGCATGACGTTTTACATATTCCTCTGATGTGCATCTTAGCTGATAAACCACTGATCCATGCTTAATACCTGTGGAATAATAATTACTGTGTTCTGTGTACAAACATTAAACCAGCTTCCGTACAGCTGGTCCCCTAAGCTGTGAGCATTGTTTATCTGAAATATCACCAGCACATTGTTGGGATTCTTGAGGGTTTGACTTGATGGTACTTGACTTTCTATGTCAGGTGTTCGGCCGCTGCAATTTGTCAGTAGTATGAACATATGTGTCTACGTGTGAGTGAGTGAGAACAGGAGGTGGTGCTGATGTGTGTTGCGATATCGGTGGATTTTCCAGCAGCGCCATAAGCTTCTTAGAAGCAGATATAAAGCAGTGTATGGTGGGAAACAAGCTGGTGTGTGTCAGAGAGAGAGAGAGTGAAGAATAGGGGATGGTAGAGTAAAACATGGGAGGGTTGACTTATAACACCAGAGATGATGCTTTAAAATAAACACCTGGCACAAGCCTCCTGTAGTTGTTGCATTGCAGGCCAGAAATTGAACATGTAATATGACATATAATGCTTTCACTAAACCTGAGCCAAGCAAGTTCAAGTTCAGATTTACATATCCACCCTGTTGTACACTGTCTAGGAATAGGAGTATGACTGCAGAGAGAGGAACTCCCTGCTTGGGAATGTTGCTCTGCTGGCACAGGGAATGAGGGCACCAGAACGCTGAGGCGATAACTTTAATGAAGCATGCGTACCAGAGATGGCTTTTTTAATGGCATACCTGTGGCTGAGGTTTCTCACTAAACACTGTGTTCCACCTGGCAACTTCTTTCCTGGGGTTTGAGTTGCGCAACTCTTAAGGAGGGAAATGGAGAATAGACTGTATGCAGGCTGTATGCCATCTTGTTGTCTATCAACAGTTTCGTCTATGGGTTATAGTGAAAAATGTCTATCAAAATGTCTTATCGCTCAAGGTAGGGCTGAACAATTAATCAAAATTTTATCGAAATCACAATATGGCCTACTGTAATTTTATTATGACAGTGGCACAATGTTTGTTATTTACAGGCGAAATGTGTGTCAAAATACCATTTTAATTTAAATACTGTTGCAGAGATGCCTACACATCATATTCTAGAGACTCAAGAAAAACAACTTTGTTTGTCACACCGTAATTCATTTTAATATGTTTTCAATGAAAATGAGAATAATGATCATTCCCCTAGTTTTGCAAATCACATCACAATTGTCAAACAGTCAAAATAATCGCAATTAGATATTTTTTCAAAATCAAAACATCAGCAGTCCAAAACCCCAAAATATTCAATTTAGAAAGGATATTAGAGCAGCATTTATTGATTTATTGATTAGTCAATTTGTCAAGTGACAGAAACTGAAAAGGGAACTCTTTTGATAATCGATTAATTATTTAAGTCAGTTGTCAAGTAAAAAAATAAATATGGTTCCAGCTTCACAAATGTGTGATTTTGCTGCTTTCTCTTGTCTTATTCTGTGGTAAAGGTAATATATTTGGGTGTCGGTCTGCTGATTGATCAAAACAAGATATTTGATTAAATCACTTTAACCTCTAGGAAATTATGCTGGGCATTTTTATGACTATAAATTGAGAAAATGATCAGCAGATATAACCAATAATGAAAATAACTATTAGCGGCGGCCCTAATTGATATAAAAGGAAGAATAGTAGCAGTAAATATTTGATATTTTTTCATGATAAATGAATAAAATCTTTTAACTGATTATAAAAATCATTAATGATTACATTTCTTTCAATCGACTAATGGATGAATTGTTTCAGCAGTAATCTGAGATGTCTGAATCTGAATGTGAAGTACTTTCAATATGTGGACAGTACCAGACTTGATGCCATTACACAGCAAATGTTATGCTTCAGTTGGAAAGTTAAACCACATCATGAAAATATGACCTTCTTTGCCAGTGCCATCATGTTCAGCCCACCGGGTCTAGATTGTGTGTATAGACCATGTGTCTGTTGAAGGAGAGGTCAAAGGTGAGTGATGTGTTACAGAGGTGGTTTGGAATTAAGTCTAAATTTAGTCCTAAATCCTAAACCACCTCTGGCTTTAGAGAGACACTGAGAAAATATACTGTAGGCCGTGTCTGTTGACAGTTCTCTTCCTACCATTCAGTATGTACAGTATTGTACAATTAAGGCAAATTTACTTTCACTTAACTCAGTTGACACGGCTCTAAATATAACTGAACCTGAAAGTCACATAGTGATGATAAATGCTTGGTCAAGTATTTATTCAGAGACTTTGTAGAACCATTATTAAACTTCCCATAGAGGCAGTTGGCCCTCATGTGTTATTCAATACAAGGGTATGTGGGAACCAATGGTGGAAAACATTTTAACCGTATCCTGGAGCTATTATTGGAGATAGTTAACCAATAGGTTCAGATTGGTGTTTCAAACCACTGCTGTTACCCGAACATAGATGTTAAAATTTAAACCAGCTTAGTTAATCTTTTGCTGGAGCTTGACTGGACTGACTGTCTTTTTGACCCCTTCTTCCTCTTAAAAGTCCTTTACTTCCTCATCACCCCCTTTCCACTCACTCTCTGATTTATAATGACTTTTGTACATGTTTTTCCTGTAGTCCTTGACTCTTGCACCATTTCTGTGTTAGCCTCTGTCTCTTACTTCCCCCTTCCTCCCTCTTTCCTCTCCCTCATTGCTTTCTCTTTCGAGGAGCCTGCGTCTGTCATGGTGCTAGCTGGAGCCAAGACGTTTTCAGAATCAACCTTTGCTCCTCCTGTGCCTTTCCCTGGGCTCCCCTTTTGTGTTTTCACATTTCGGTGTTTGAGTTTGCGTGCGACACAGCAGGGAGTCCCCCTCATTCGATACAGTTTCTGAGTCTTTGAGGATACAAGTGCATCACTAGCAAGGATGCGTGTCTGCAGAGGCACAGCAAATGTGGGTGTTTGCCGTAATTTAAATTCATGGCTGAATACAGCCCACCTGATCTAGAATGTTCTGCCTCTGTTCTTCACACAGAGAGGTCTGACTTGAATCACCTGCGAGCCTGTTACTGTGTGTGAGCGTGCCTGTGTGCATGTGCGTGTGTGTGTGTGTCCCACTCAGCAGATGGCCAGACATCCAGCGAGTAGACTAATTGAGATAAGCATGCCAACAAGCTGACCAGGCTAACAGAATTATAAGCTTGTAAGGAGGGGACGTGGAAAGCCAAATGTAGCTCTGGCTTGTTTATCAGCATACCTTTTTTTCTCACTAGTAACTGAAAATACATAGCAAGTTTGTATTTTTATTGAAGGATAGATTCACACTTATTTTCAAGTCTGTCATACACCAACACTCACATGCTTATGTGTACACCAAAAGTGTTTCTTGTCGACGTCGATTATTCCTCTTGTCCATACTGTGCTGCAAAGAGATTCCTTTCTAAAGTATTTTAAATGTAAGTGACAGGGTGACAAGTTAACTCCAGTTTAAGCCAATATGAGACTCCAGCAGTATGAGCTAGACAAATCAAATGGGTATCTTACAAAGTCACAGTCTTTTTAGTACCACATTTTCTTTGTGCGTCCACAGACATTGTTTCCTTGCTGAGCTGCGGTGGCGGGATTGTAACAAAAGAAGGGAAATTCATACTAAAAAGACTAACTCTGGAAGATATCCATTTGATTTGACTTGACTCAGACTACTGAAGCCTCATATTACTGTAGCTTCAGCTGCACTTTGTTGTTTTTGTTTTTTACACAGAAAGAGCGCTGTGGATTTTGTCCCCCCTCCCTTATACTGAAATTGCTTTAAGAAGTGAACTTTTTGTAGCAAGTTTGGACAAACTAATGTGACCAACAGTGCTTTTAATGTATATATGGGGATATGAGGATTGTTTTAAGACTTACTTCTCCTTTAAAACACATTTTGAGTTTGGAGAAAAACAAAATAATAATGTCCCCGACACTGATTCAGTTGTGTATGTTGTTGTGTTCGTGATGAAGATGATGATGCGCTGTGCTTTCTATGTTTTGATCTCTGTTGCCATTGTAGCAGCTTGTGTCTTGTTTCTTTCTCATTGCTCTTGACCACCTCAAACACACTCTCTTATTGTTGTTTATCTTTTGTCTCGGCAGGTGTTCTCAAACAGCGATGAAGCCCCCATTAATAAGAAGCTCCCCAAAGAGCTTCTTCTTAGGTAAGATTAATAATATCCCCCCTCCTCATTAGCTGAAGCAGCCTTGACCAGTCATTGTGTAGGTGTGTGTGTGTTTGTTTGTTTTGTCACCAGTTGTGTGTGTGTGTGTGTAGGTATCTGTTTTTTTAGTATGATGTATGTTGGTCACTAGTCTGCAATGAGGTCCTGTTAACCTTGTGACCTACAAACCAGTATTTTGTCCCACTTGACCCATAAATCTAATATCACTCACACATGTTCATCCTCCACACTGATTTATACATGGATCTGTGTGTGTGCATGTATGTTTGAAAGGGATGCACCTGCATGTCGCTGCACTACACTACTGCATGTGTGTGTGTGTGTGTGTGTGTGTGTGTGTGTGTGTGTGTGTGTGTGTGTGTGTGTGTGAGAGAGAGAAAAACGCTCCTGGTCCTATGCAAACTGTACGTCTGTGTTTGTGTGCTATAAATAGCTTGTCTTAGCTTGTGGGGAATTCCGCATTGCTGTGCTCTGCTGCTGCTCCAGCTGTGCTCCACAGAGATCACCAGTACACCCATTACTACCAGCACTGCTTTCACTGGTGGACAGAAAAATATGTACTCACATGCACTCGTTGGCTGCAACACATGACTTAGTGTCACATGTGTCATGTTGAGATGATGTTACACAACATCAGCTGTGAGGAAGACTCATTGTTACGTCTGTAAATCTTGTTTATAAACCATGGAAAGTGGGCCTTTATTTATAACTCAAGCATTTTGTCAATAAGATGACAAGAAATAATAAACAGGGCGTAATGTAAGGTATTTACATTGCTTGTTTTATTCAACCAACAGTCCGAAATGTAGATATAACAGAGAAAAGCCTCAAATCTTCACACTTGAGAAGCAGGAACCAGTGAATGTTTGCTACTAAATCTTGTAACGTGACTTGACTGAACGATTATTATATTATCAAAACTGCAGATGATTAATTTTATGTGGATCAAGTACTCAATAAATCAACTAAATGTAGAGTTTTAGAGGATAAACTCACTTTTTAGATAAACTGCTTACAACTCATAACAAGACATAAGGTGTCACCAGCCAGAAAAGATTTCGAACCACTGGAGAGGCTCAACCATGTGGTATTTGTTGGCAAATATCCTGTGAGGAATAATGTGTTTTTTTATTAATCAGTGTTCTCATTAGAGTTACTGCTTTTGCATTGTAAACGGCCATGGATATAAACTGTTAGAACTGTGGCGTGATATAGAAGAACCCTGTCTGACAGACGAGCCTCGGAGAGAGTTTAGAGGGTCTTTTTACCCAGAAGTGCTGACTCGGCGCCTTCCCTACCACCGCCCAAATTCATGTCTAACCGGAGTTGCTATGGCAACCAGTCCTTGACTCGCTGTGAAGGCTTGACTCTCTTATCTAGCCATGCTTGAAGGGCCAGGTATACATTTTGTCAACAAATAGGACTATGCGCCATTAAAATCTCATTATATACCATGTCATAAAAACATAGGCATACTCAGGCAGGATTTGACAGAGCAATCAAAGGATGCTAACTTAGTTTTTGTTCTGCCTGCGTTCAGAGGCAGCATTAGGGTAAAGTGAAAAACATACTCATGATGTTGTACCTCTGAATTTGGCTCTGTTGTATCACAGCCTACCCTTTCTGTTGTCCTTTCTTTGTCGCTGTCCATGTTAGTGATACAGCTATAATCACTGCCTGAATACAACAATCTGTCTTCATCTAAAACGTCAGGGCTGTTCTCAACTATTAGGCTTTTATTATCAAGTGCAAATGCCAAATAGGTTAACAGGACTCACCAAATCAGATTGAGTGATTGCTACTCTGTGAGTATGAGTAAAATAATAATTCTGTGGTAAAAGGCCTCTCTCTTTCACACATAATGGAAAGTCAGATTGTGTTTGATTAAAACAGACAGCCAATCAATGACCAGTGTCACAGCCATTAACCAGTTATTAGAAGGGAGATCGATGACCGCCTGCTTGCTTGGTCAGCTTCTCTGGTGGCCTTGCAATGACACCGAGGACTGTGTGTGTGTGTGTGTGTGTGTGTGTGTGTGTGTGTGTGTGTCCATGTGTTTGATGTGTGAGAGTGCATGTGTGTCGTGTGTGTGTGTGGGTGTCTTTGCATTGCTTTGTTGATTGTATGCATGTACTTCCTGACACAAGACTCCGGTATAGATTATACAGACATGCCCCAACATGCCCTGACCTAACACACATCAACACACGCAGCCTTTGTCTGCTTCTATATGAAGGAAACAATGGTCAGCTCCTGTTTCCGAGGGTTAAAAGGACATTCAGACCCCAGCTGCACTCAAAGCTTTGGCGCCATGACCATTCTTTGAATACCTCAAAGTTTCTATAGATTGGCTCTTTGAAGCACTTCTGTGAGTGGTAAAAGGCCATTTAATCACTGGGAGCTCAGATGAAGTATACAATACATGTATGTGCTTGAGGAGGTTTTATTGTATGTGTGTCCTCAGTATATGTATGTATGTCTGTCTGTCCCATGCTGTCTGTGGCCTTGCCTGTGTGAGTGAGTGCCAGAGATTACTCAATGGCAGATTAATGGATTGAGCTGACCCAGTAGCCTGCTGCATGCAGCCCTTTGTGGCTGACCGGCCCACAGCTCAAACACTGGCTGTCTGTGGGGCTCTCCTGCTACCGACCAAACACAGGAGATTGTTCTGTTTTCTACAGACACGCACAAAAAACATAAACTAAACATATATTAAATCACACAAAGGGAAAGATATTCAAGTATAAAGTTTAGGTGGAAAAAGTGAGACAAGCTCATGCTGTTCTTTTTGTGTCTCTTCGTAGAATATTCTCCTATCTAGATGTGGTTACTCTCTGTAGGTGTGCCCAAGTATCCAAGGTAAGCGCTTCCCTCTCTACACCTCCAAACCACCCACTGTAGACGAACACACTCATTGTTTCAAAAAGAATGTGTTGATGTAATTCTAAACTATTATGTGGTTGAATTAAAACCGGTTTACCATTATTGAATTCTCTAGAAATGTCTATAATGTAGTGCCATCTGCTGGTTATGTGGAAGTGGACCACTGTTTAGCAGCAGGGCACTGCAGCTGAAAGCCGTTTCTGAATGAGCTATCTGTGAATAATAACAAGGGCTTGGCACATTGACTGTGAATGCAGAGCTGTGGTGGCTGCTTCTTTTACAACAGCTCCAATGTATTTCTTTAAGGGAAATAAAGACAGCTGTGACTAAGCGATTTAGATTGTATATTTTTGATATATGTCGTTGTTGGTTATCTTGTAGGTGTTCTGTGTACCTAAATGTCCAACCATTGTTATGATTGGTCAGTCAATTATTTTCTCAATTAATCAATCATTTGTTTTGACTGTAAAGTATGAGACAACAGTGGAAAAATACCCATTATAATTTCCCAGAGCCCAAGGTGAGGTCTTCAGATGTCTGGTTTTGTCTGACCAACACTCCAAAACCCAAGGATTTTCAGTTTACAATGATATAAAACAGAGAAAAGAAGCAAATCCTCACATTAGAGGGGCTCCATGTGGTTGTAAGAAGTGATTAACAACAACTAGTGCGCCTGCTGCATGAACAAAGAAACAGAAAGTGGGCATTGTTCATGCGTATACCGAGCCAGACCCACAGAGTGCATTATAGGGGCAGTTGACCCAGAGTGTTCATTCATGTTTCCCGCATATTATGATAACAGAGTCCTCATTCACCTTCCCCCACCTCTGTCTGACCCACATGTCTGTCTCTGTCCACAACCTGTCTGTCACCCTCTCAGGCGTGGAATGTACTGGCTCTAGATGGCAGTAACTGGCAGAAGATTGACTTGTTCAACTTCCAGACAGACATAGAGGTGAGGGGTGTGTTTATGAGAGACAAAAAGAGAAGAGTGAAGCGGTAGAATGGACTGTGTGTGTGTGTGTGTGTGTGTGTGTGTGTGTGTGTGAGTGCATACTTGCCCATACGTGCTGCATGTGTATGCTTGTTGAGTAGTATTATCCAGCCCAAGGCTTAGTGCTGGGTCAGTACACTTTGGTGCCGACTGTGACGTCACAGCTGATCCTCTCTCTCTCTCTCTCTCTCTCTCTCTCTCTCTCTCTCTCTCTCTCTCTCTCTCTCTCTCTCTCTCTCTCTCTCTCTCTCTCTCTCTCTCTCTCTCTGTGCCTGTGTCTCTCAGGGGCGGGTGGTGGAGAACATTTCGAAGCGTTGTGGAGGCTTCTTGAGGCAGCTGAGCCTCAGGGGCTGCCTGAGTGTGGGAGACGCCTCCATGAAGTGAGATTCTCATTGTCTCTGAGTGTGGTGCTCTTTTGACTTTTACTGAAACTCACTCTCTTGGTGGTTTGATAACTTATTGTTTTGTTCACATGTGATTATGTTTAAAGTTTATGCGGCTTGTTCCTCTTCAGTCCCAGGGGAGTGTGTGGTAGAAACGCTTTTTTTTAAATTCTATTTAATCTCAGTTTACTGTGCATGTACACAAATACACGCACACATGCATATACAAAACAAAAAAACAAAGGTGATGTAATTTTATTTTTATATAAAACTTGTACATCTTGATCTGTTCATTCACACGGTTTGACAAGATTTTTATCGGCTGCTGTGGAAAACAGATTTAAAGAGGTACAAGCTGTTATTTGGAGAATCAGGCTTTCATAAAAAAAAGTAATGAACAGAAGCTGTACAACAACCTCTCAAGGGCCTGTAGATGACTTTGTTAATTGGCTTCCCAGCAGCTCCCAGCTTCTGACTTCTTATTTATTCAATGAAGCGACTCTTGAGTAATTCCCCCACCTCTCACTCTCTACTGTTTCGACTGTTTCCCAGGACATTTGCTCAGAACTGCAGAAACATCGAAGTGTTGAACCTGAACGGCTGCACCAAGATCACAGACAGCACTTGTCTCAGTCTCAGCAAGTTTTGCTCCAAACTCAAACAGCTGGATCTCACCTCCTGTGTGTCCGTCAGCAACCACTCCCTCAAGGCCCTCAGGTAGCACCCGCACACTTGGTATTGCCCTGGCTACTTAAACCCAAATCCCACATAACAGAACCCCTTAAAGAAAATAGTTCTCAATTCCTCCTTAAGCCCTTACACATTGTGCACACAGTTTTTTTTGTTGAACTCTTAAACAAATAATAAATGTACACAGGTGTAATTTAAGACACATGCCCTGTGTGTTTTGTCTTCATCTTCATTGTTTAATGTGTGTGCATGCTCAGTGATGGCTGCAGAATGCTGGAGATGTTGAACCTGTCGTGGTGTGACCAGATCACACGTGATGGCATTGAGGCTCTGGCTAGAGGCTGCAACGGTATACGAGCACTGTTCCTCAGAGGCTGTACACAGGTACGGTGGCAGCAGTGGTTGCGCACACACACACATGCACGCCAGAGCAAGGGATTTTTCTTTCAGTGGGCATATCAGGCCTTCTTTATAGGATTTTAAGGCATTTTGACCCTGTTCCAAGTGCTACTATTTAAAAGGAGTATTGCCTGATTTTTTTTTTTTAATACATTTTTTATTTTCCCGTGCAAGACGTTGTTGTGTGACCTGCTGCCAGAGGACACTGTTCACTACAATTTACTGTAAACCGGGTTCTCTGTTGGTGAAGACAGCTCAAAAATGTTAAAACTACAGAAAACTCAAAACAAATACCTATAAATTCCCATATTATTAAAAAACATAACCACAAGCCACACTGCTTCCCTACTGCTGAAAAATGACTTACTGAAGAGAAATGTGCCCTTTTCCCTACTTGCTGTTCCAAACACAGTACATTTTCCATCCCACGGATTGGTCTGTTGATGTAGTGGTTTGTGTTGGGTTGGCATGTTCTTTTTCTGTTGCCCCTCTAGAACCAATATTTTCTTCAGGCTGTGTGCTCAGTTTTTGTTGTTTGCATAACCAGTGTCTAGTCTGTTTTTCTTCCCTGGAAAAAATACCATGAACCCCCCACGGATCATCTTTTGAGGCTCACGGGGGACAGTAGTCACACGTGGATTGAATTAACTAATTGGAAAAACAGGCACGGAATTGAACAAAGGTTTCTCCTGTTTACTCGGGGGACGTTCAGAGTCTTTCACAAGCCACTGTTGATTATTAGAAGATACATCAACACACATAAACAGTCACATACATTACAGTATATAGATTATATATCCAGGTGTTTGATTAACAATTCTGTGCATTTTCTCTTAACCCAGCTGGATGATGGAGCATTGAAACACCTTCAGAAACACTGCCCAGAACTCACCACCATCAATATGCAGTCTTGCACAGTAAGACAAACCATTTGGATGTGGATACTGGGAGAGACTGATAATAAGGCATGAGGGATGTGTCTGTATGCCTCTGTGTTTTTGTAATTTGTCTTGTGTGTTTGTTGCCTCCAGCAAATAACAGATGAAGGTCTGGTCAATCTGTGCCGAGGATGCCACAAGCTACAGATCCTTTGTGTGTCTGGCTGTAGTAACATCACTGATGCCTCCCTCACTGCTATGGGACTCAACTGTCCCCGACTCAAGTGAGAAAAACACGCACACCTGTCTCACCATCCTTAACAAGGACATTAAAAGCTTGCTTTGTTGTCCACAAAATCTCCTTCTCAGGCAGTGTGACTACTATCATTTCCAAAAATTGACTAGAATCCTCATTGGTATTGGTATACATGGGGTGGTGATGGTGCAGTGGATAACGCACATGCCTTTGGTGTGAGACACACTGTGAAACATCCACCAATGTGTCCCTGAGCAAGACACTTAACCCCTATTTCCTCCAGAGGTGTGCGACCTCTGACATATATAGCAATTGTAAGTCGCTTTGGATGAAAGCGTCAGCTAAATTAATAAATGTAATATGTATGTGTGGATTTCCAAGTAATTTTAGCTACCTGAAAAGGCCAAATTCCTTCCATGTAGACATGTAGATAGGTGTGTCAAAGCTTCAGAGCAAACTGTCTAAAGCATGGAAATAAAATATTTTATTTAATAGAGAAGGTTGCGAGCTCTGATACATAATCCTAAAGCTGTGTCTTAGCCCCGCTTCATAACCCAGGTGCTTGGTAATGATTTAGATCAACCTTGTTAACACACCACGTTAAACCATACCCTCCAAGTAGCCTTTACAAGTTGCATGTGTGTTTGTGTGTTCTCAGGATCCTTGAAGCTGCAAGATGCTCCCATGTTACAGACGCTGGGTTCACTGTCCTAGCCAGAGTGAGTTTCTTTTGGGTCTTTTAGTCGTGTTTTCTCTGAACCTTTTTTGGGTCAGCCATCCATTCCTCCATATCTCTTTGAGTTTAATTTAAGATTTCTGTTTTTTTCACAGAATTGTCACGAGCTTGAAAAAATGGACTTAGAAGAATGTATTTTGGTAAGACAACTTGTGGTATCCCTATTTATTCCCAACATCATGGTCATGGTATTTATGTTTAATCTGGAATCATTCTCTGACTTTGATCCATTTTTCTGGCTAGAGATTGGAGGAAAAAGACAGGTGTGATTACATGCATGGCAAGGTGTTTCCTGCCAAGAGGGAGAGTGAGCAGTTCAATGACCTCAGTATTTAAATTGATTTTGACAAAAAAGCAGAGAGCGGGAGACAGAAAAGAAGTGACATAGAAGAAAAAATTTTAGTGGGATACAAAACTAGAGTGGGACATGCAACACACACTTCCAAAACTGTGAAATAAGACTCTCTAGACATTTGAGAACAGTACGTTAATCAAGCTTGTCCTCTCCACAGGTGACAGATAACACCCTGGTTCAGCTGTCTATCCACTGCCCTCTCCTGCAAGCACTGGTAAACATTTACACCTGCAGCTCTGAGTTTGTGCCAGGTTCTGCCTCAGCCTGTCTGCATGCATATAGAGCTTTAATCCATTTATCTGTGTGTCTTCAACCCTCTCTGCTGTGCCCTGGACAGTCTCTGTCCCACTGCGAGCTGATCACAGACGATGGCATCAGAGCTCTCAGCAGTAGTACCTGTGGCCAAGAGCGCCTCACAGTGGTGGAGCTGGACAACTGCCCCCTCATCACAGACGTGACCCTGGAGCACCTGAAGAGCTGCCATCGCCTGGAGCGCATTGAGCTCTATGACTGTCAGCAAGTCACCAGGGCTGGCATCAAACGCATCCGGGTCAGTGGAAATCATGGATCACATAGACTCTGCTCTTGTTGGGGATTGGATCAGTGACTTTTAAAATCACTTCTCTGTTCAGTTATTCACTACCTTATTTTATTTAAAAAACATATACCTATAACATTTCATAACCATCAACATGTTGGGAAATACACTTATTTGCTTTCTTGTCAAGAGTTAGATGAATAGATCGATACCACTCTCAGATGTCTTACTCCAGGAAATTGCTGCTTCCAGTCTTTGTGCTAAGCTAAGCTAAGCTAGGCTGCTGGCTGTCATGTTTAACCAGCACATATGAGAGTGGCCTTGATCTTGTCATTTAACTCTCAACAAGTATGCAACATGTTCCCAAAACATCAAAGTACTCCTTTAACGAACAATAGAACGGTTGACCGAACTCAGAAACAAATCTTTTTTAATGTCATTTTATATCCTTGTATTAACACACCGCTTCCCTACACAGGCCCACCTTCCAGAGATCAAGGTCCATGCCTACTTTGCCCCAGTGACACCTCCTCCTTCTGTACATGGAGGTGGTCAGCGTCTGTGCCGCTGCTGCATCATCCTCTGACAGTGGAGGGCCAGGGGGGGCCACCTCTGTCTACAGGTCCTGCTGCTCTGATATGGGCTGAAATGGGGTGGGGTGGGATGTGGGGGGAGCGGACTCGGGTAGGTGTAGGGGAGAGGAGGGGCTGGACCCACTCACTGCTCCTGATCACTGATCAATACATAGACTGATCACCACTTATCCCTGATCAGTTGAACCCGCCCCTCCTCTCTCCTCTTGCTCACCAGTCAGCATTGCAGCTACCCCGGGTTTTGGCTTAGAGGGGTAGGTGGAAAGAACACTGATGGATGGACTCTCTTTTTCTCTCTCTGTCTCATGCTGTCTTTCTTGCTGTAAAGACAAAAACAGGTTCTCCGCTCCATTCTGCTTTTCACACCCCCCGACTCCCCACATGTGGGCATATAGGTTTGCATCTGGACAGCTGCAGGTGTGTGTGTGTGTGTGTGTGTGTGTGTGTGGGAGGGGGGTGGGGGGGTTGAACAGTGGGACTACAATGCATCATGTTCAAACAAAAAAAAAAAAAGACGATATTGTCATATTGGACAACAGTTGGCTCTCTGTGGAGTATCATCTCAACCAATCACATGACACTTCAATGTGACCATCCTGTGATTCATTGTGCTTTGACCAATAAACACACAGCATGGAGGGAGAGGAAAGCTGGGTTGTGGGAAATGCAGATCTTCTGGATATAAACAGTGAAGCACCGCCAGTTCAACACTCTAATGTGGAAGAATTGAAGAAATAACAGGAAGCACCGAGTGGGACGTATTTGTGCATCTGAGAAACTTTTGTTGAGATTATGATTCTGTTCATACAGAGAATGTTTTGCAATGGAAAAAAAGAATTGCACTTATGGCAACTGACTCAAAATTGGGGTAGTCCAACCGAAAATTGTTTTCTTTTCTTTTCGTTTTTCAGTGCTTATTGTAATTGTCCATGCCTGTCTGTCCAGAGAGGGAGAGATATGTTTGTCATTCTTTTTGAAAAAGAAAAGAAGAAACTGTTGCTGTTTGAGAACAAAAAGGACCCATGATTCAGACCCTCAGCGTCTAAAAGCGTTGACTCTGGATGCTCCTGGGATGAGTGGCCTCTCCTTTGTAACGTGTGGGTATGTTTGCTTGTAGGCCCTGATCCAATCCTGTCAGTAGTCCTGTGCACTAGCTCCTACTTGACCACTTAAGCATTTGTTTACATCCTGGATTAAGTTAGCACCAGAGACAAGCTTGTTTACATCAGTAGGTTTCCAGTCTCCCTACTATTCAGAGTGAGTTTAGTAACACTGATACAACTGTGGTATATCCACTGTTTTTATTCAAATGTATTGCTGTGTGTATTTGGATATCAATCAGGGCTAACGGTGCAACTTTGCCTCAAAATGAAATGGAAATTTGCTTAAAGCTGAGATAATAGGTGTGAGAATGTGAGCAAAGGCACCTCAACTTCTTGACAATCACATGAATTTATGTATTTGAAAGTTAATTTAATGTAGTTTTGTGTAATTGGCAATTTACTGATGATGTACGATGTGATAAATTGTCTGTATTCAATATACCCCACTCACTTAATGCCCCAAGCAGCACATGCTGAACTATTTAGAACTTGACTATTGATCCAGGTGTTTGATGGAACTTGATCTAATGTGTCTAATTGATCAGCAACAAATTCCCACTCACCCAATCCTACAAACATAGTTGACAGCGGGAATGTGGTATGTGGTGACTGAAAAGCCCCAGAACCAACAGTTTATTTCACTCTGTACAGACACTCCTTCAGATCAACAGGATCTTGACATTATCTGTCTTGCCATGCAGACTAACACATGTATGGGGCATGAAATACCACTACTCAAAGCACTGAAAATGCAACAAAACAGCAGCTTGCAATATTGTGCTGAACAAGAGACTGGCAAGTGCTATGTAGTGCAAAGTGCTCAAAGACTGGGGAGATTGGCAGGACTATGGATAGGACTAAAACAAGTAGAGCAGATGGAAAGATGAACAAAGACTCAGATGGATACATAGCTGACTTGAGTTATGAGCTATGATACTAATGTCCTCTCTTTGACAGCTGTTTTAACAGTTTTATGTTTAAGAAAAAAAAAAGAAATAAATGAAAAAAATAAGCAAATGAATAAATAAAAGTAACTAATAGTAAATGTGCTTTGTCTCTCCAGTGTGAGATTTTGTCTCATATTTTTTAAAGACTTCTTTATAAATGCGGCAAATTGCATTCAGGCTACATGGCAGTTGAACCACTAGATGCCAACCGGGAGCCGTGCAGACTGCAGACACACCCACACACAGTGCGGCGGGTTTGATTCATGACTGTTACAGAAAACAGAAATGATCAAGCCATAATTAATGACAAAAGAATAAAAATCGACTTACTACTGCTGTAGCTATGTCCCTGTTTAAGCGTAAGTCTGGTCCGCACGTACACTTGATATTAATTAGCTGTTTTACATCAGGCATTATGCTGGTCAGCTGTGCGGCGCTCGAAGACCCGTCGGCCTGATAGTTGATCGGTTGCGCCGCCTGCTAAACTGCAGTCCCCGGCAGCGCGCAAGCTTTCCGCGCCTGGTTTAGCGGTAGCGGTGATTACTCCTGGATTAAAGAAAAACCAGTTCCCGCAGGACTGGAGCTAAGCCGTTATTGTGGAAGTTTGGTGAAAGTTTACCGCTGAAGCAGTCGGCAGCTGACGGCGCAGAAGACTTTGCAGGCTGGTGTCATGGAGTATAAAAGCGGAGTGGAGCCAGGCGTCAGGCCTGCGGATAACTAACGTTAGCTAGCCGAGCTAACGTTAGCTGACGTGAACCCGTCTATCCTTGTTTGGGTCGCTGTGCTAACTAGCTAGGTGCTATTTTTGTTAGCATAACAGAGGGTTCCCTGCTTGTTTAGATCCGGATATATTGAACGAACCCACCGGGGTCCACTACAATAATACGTTTCCTGAACTTTTGTCGGAGTTTTAAGTTAACCTTCTGAGCTAACGGTGTACAGTTAGGAAGCTGTCGAGCTAAGTCTTTGTTACAAAGTTGATCTTTTGATTTTGATAGAGGGATGATTTGTGTGTTAAATTAATAATTTTTGTAGGTTGATGATAAAATATAAGTTAGACGTAACGTTAGTCCAGACCGCACAGTCGTTCTGCCCCCCTACGGGACTACAGTTAAAATCTTTTTCTCTCCTTCACACCCCGACCCACCGACCACTGTCTCCTGTCGTCGGCCGGCTTCGGTGGCTGGCCACACAGCACTGAGTGCCCAATGGAGGAACATGACAACATGGACTATTTTTACCAGCAGGTATTGCAAAAAGACGTTACCCGCAGGTTGCAGGTCGGCCAGGACCTAATTGACTACCTAAACGACCCACAACGGTCCCCGGACGTGGAGCAGGACAAACCCCGGCTGGATAAGACCGTGGACGAGCTAACGGGATGGGTGAACTCCAGCAATTTCAAGGTGAGAGATCTTGGGCAATCATAGTATGAGGGTATCGCTGTGTCACTGCAGCAGTCACCCCTTCGGCCTGTTCATGAATTATTTTCCACCAGTTTACCCAGTGAGCTGGAAGAGAGAGGGGAGTAATGGGAATATTATATTGTTTGGCAAGAGGTTGGTTTCAATGCGAAGAACTTAAGCATTTCAAACGAGCTGTCATCGCTTTAGAGATATGAAGAAGACAACCCGAGCCCCGCTTTAAAACAGAGATAATCAAACTGGGAGCCCCCTTTCTTATCTGAGCTCAGCTAAGTAAGAAGATTCAACATATTATTTGCGTTTTCATTCAGCGCATCTTCCTACCAAACCTCGAAAAAGCAGAATGCTATGTCTTTCTTTTTGACAACCGGTTAGTCTACCCCTGCATCACAAGAGGCAGACATTTTTAAATCTCTCCCCAGTGACAGAGTAGGACATTTACAGGGCATTCCTGTGGTTTGTTGGGAGTTTATATCGTTCTGGCTGAGACTGTCTGTGTTCAGGGGAACCCATTGTCAGCACCATAGACAACTGGAGCACTGGATGGGATGGGGGAGGGGTTAGAAGATTCATTGTTGTGACCCATGCTTTCTCTCCATCCCTTGCTTTGCTCTCTTGTTTTTTCTCTCTCACATACAGACACTCTGTCATTATCTCCTTTTGCCTTTTCACAGTTTTTCTCTTTATTCTCTCTCCAGCTTCATGCTGGGTGTGTGTCCTCGTCTGCACTCTTTGCCATATCTTGGAAATGCAGGAATGTGACAATTTTGCCAAGATATCACACCAATCCAGACAGAAAATCAAAACAGTCTTTCAAGGCGTGCTGAAATTTGACTCCCAAGTCTCTTTTTGAACTGATAAACATTGTCTGCACTAATATGCAGGACTCAGCAAGACTGTAAGTGTGAAAATTGTGCATTCGGCACAACAAAAGCATCCTCTCTCTTTTTAGTAGCAGAAGAGACTCTTTTCGACCTCTTAAGTTCAACCTTTGTTAACTAATTCCATTTACTACAGAGCAGTTGATAAATATGCTCCCATATGCTATTTTGATTGCCTTTCAAGCACCAGTTCATCTTCAAGTATCTAACATTTGTTTTCTTTTATTGACAAATGAAGACTTAAATTATTAGGTGCAGAGATTGAACAAAACACAAAAGTGAACAATTGCAGCCTTCATCTCCAAGAATTTTATTTTGAGCTGTAACGAGCAAATGTGTTTCTTTGTTCAGATTAGTTCTTTTATGTGGGTGACATGCAGTAACTTGAGCTCAGATCAGTGTCTGGGAGTGATGAGGTCTTCACATAGCAGGCTTTTAGTGATGCTGATCTGCTCCCTGTCGGGCAAAAGGATGGAGGACTTACTTGTATGCAGGATGCTGAGTCAGCACAGAGAGACGGAAGAATAGAGAGATGATGCAGAGTTGACAAGAGGCCGAGAATGAAGGAGGAGTTGAGGAGGGACTGGAGTGATAAATTGTGTAAGGGTAAGTGAGTGGAAAACACAAGTTACCACTGATAAATAGCTAAAATGTTAACGAATTAAGCGACTGTCACACCCAAGTTCTTGTTTTAGGAAAGGATGAAATACTATATTTTGTCTGTCTGATGGCTCTCTTCATCTCTCTGTTCACTTGTGTGTCCTCATCTGGTTCTTTTTTGGACAATGAGTCAGTTTCATCCCCTTTTTTCTTTTTCTCTTTGAGAAGGTAGAACAGCAGATTTACCTCATACGCTTTGCTCTCACAACGTCACAGAGGCCTCGGCGCCTATGTGAGACACGCAAACGCAAGGCATTAATACTGCATGTTGCATTTATGGCCAGCAGGGCCAGATGACTGTAAACTGACTGGCCTGATAGTGGGTTGATAGTACTACCAGGCTGCCCGACCAGGCACTCTGATCTTTGTGAAAATACACTTTGAAACAATGAAAGATTTTTGTGTTTGTGTAACCGGCTGCTCCCGACAACGCACTATACAGTCCTGACTCGAATCAGCAACCTCGGGTACGAGAGGCGGACACGCTGACGAGGGGGCTAAAACCCATGGGCACTAGTGTCGGTTGCCAGTGTGTCTGTTAAGCTGTCGGGGAGTGAGGTTTACTCACTGCACAGCATCGCTGGCTTCCGTCACATTTGCATGCTGTTCCTGCAAACTCAACTCTTTCTGCAGGTTCTTCATAGCAGACATTTTCCAGTGAAGGGATTTGATTACAGCTTTTAGAGATTTTTGGGTGCTTTTATTATTAGTATATTAGTGTTTATGGGGCGAACTCTAGGTGCTTTTTGCAGTTTGGTCAATTATCAGAGTTCAAATACAAAGAATTTACCTATGCGATGTCTTTCCCGTTCTGTTGCCATCACCCTCAGTAATGTTGACAATGCTGGGAAAATCTTGTTACAATTTAAATGTAACTAATATGGAAATAAAATAGGCTAATCTGGCACTGCTTAAAACAAAGGCACACTTTTCCTTTGCTTTGTACTACAAAATTCAGTGTAACAGCAATTGGCCACATGCCTACCAATTGCACAGTGACCACCAAAATTTACTAAGTATATATTAAGCAACACAGCTTAAGGATTTAAACTCGCATAAGCCACTAGGCAGCCAACCAAAAATGTTATTTATGAGCACCTAATGGATCTGTTAGAGCTGCAGCTAGGAACATTTTTTGTAATCAGTTTGTCTGTAGATTATTTTAATCATGATTTACAAAATGATCATCACAGAGCCCAAGCTGACATTCTCAAATAGACATTATTCTCAAATAACTTATTTTGTCCAACTAACAGCCAAAACCTCCAAAACATTATATTTACAATTATATAAAACAGAGGAAAGCAACAAATCCTGACATTTGAGAAGCTGTAACCATAAAAAGTTAGGGTGTTTTTGCTTGATAAATTTCTCAAACCAAAATAGTTGTCGACTGATAGGTTAATGGTCTAATTATTTCACAGCTAGTCCATCTTTACACATTGCCCACTCCCAAATGCTGCTGTGTGAGCCTCGGACCCTGTCTTTCTGTCCAGAAATGCACTTTAAGCCTCTCTACAATCCTGAGTAAACTCTGAACATGGTATGCGATTTAGCAGGCTAAACCACCATACGCACCAACCTGAGTCTTCACAAAGAACCATTCATTCATACCATTCCTACTCCAGCATACCTCCATCGTGCTGATTTTATGAAGCATGTTGTACAACTGTGTGTGTGTCTCAGAATGATCCTTTTAGACACTGCTTTGTCCACATACCCAATATTTTTAGTATCTTCTTTCCTCCCTCATCACCCTTAGTCAGACTTTTCACTGCAGGAGGCCTTCAGAGCCCTCCTTCTCCATCTTTCTCCTGTCCAAGGTAGATAACAAGCACAGTCCCTTCCATCTCACGTCCTCTAACTGCTCCTCTTCAAGTGAAGATGGCATATGGTTGTGGGCGCCGAGCTTGTTGGGGTGCTGGGTGGGGGAGGGGGGAGGCCTCAGGGCTGCCGCCTTCCTATATTGTCCTTTTTTTTTTTTTTTCTTTTTTTTTTTTCTTTCTACTGCTGTTTTCCCCTCTTCCCCCCTAAATTAGGTCAGTATGAGGGAGACATCATAGTGACCAAAAGCTCATGTTTCTTCTCCAGGTGATTTTTGTTTTTTCTTACTACTGTGTTTTTCGGCCCCTGTCCGTCCTCCTCTTTTTTTTTTTTTTTTTTTTTGTTTCTGTGGTTCCCTGGCTGCTCTTCCTTTGACTAAAATAGGGAAGAAACAGCAGTCAACAGGACAGAGAAGTCTGGAGAATAATGTTTTAATGGATTTTCTTTTTGGACTGTTCAGCGTTACAGCAGCTCTGCCAAAACAAGCATTCCAGAAGCACAGCGCAGTGTGGGATGTGATCTTAATCAAAAACACAGTGGAAAACTGAACTTTACCACTAGAAAAAAAATCCACCTTCCCCCTTTCCTGCCACCAGTCATATCACAAGCCATTTTTGTCTTTTATGACTGAGCCAACTCACAGTGGTGGTGGACGAGAGAGACGTGTAAGGGGACTGTCAAGAAGAGTCGCTTTAACAAATATGATGAAGGTGTGAATATCTAAAGCGAAGTACAAATGAATGTGATTAGCTGCTGTTATGCAGATAGTATAAAGAGGGCACAACAAGGTTACATAATCGAGTACCACAGCTGTTATCATGCCCTTTGATACATGTATGTTTTTTTATGTGACTGTTAACTAGATCATCATCTCTTTATCCATACAGACAAGCTTTCAACCTCAGCTAAGCACCATACTTCAGAGCGTTTGTGTGACAAAGTAACGACTACAATAATGAATGAATTTTTTTTTTAGCTTTCCGCTGCATGTTAGCGTTTTCACCAGCAAAGAAGAGCTGGCTCTTATTAAACATACAATAAGAAGTGGTTGTATATTGTGGGTTCAGCTATGCCAAGTTCAAGTCTTTGGCAGTTAAACATTTGTATTGAATTTATAGCATTTCCATTCAGGTTTTTATGCGTATAACTTATCAGGTGGATGGAAATTCACAGTATCCAACTAACTACTTCCAATATGGATGCTTAGCTTTCAGGATAAAATTGGAATTATTTTATTTTACAGACGAAACATGTACTGGGTTCAGCAACTCCCGCCAAGTTGCTCAGTGCAAATCACTTCTGGTGTGTACTTTTATTGCTGTTGCCAGTCTCTGTCAGGTACAGTATTTCCAGACATCAGTTTTTGGGGGACTCGTACTGGTTTATCTGTTTGCAGAAAATTACCTTTCACAGTCTCAGCTATTTGCTAAGTCAGCAAAACTCAGACAGTTTAATTCAGCATTTTTCCCAACTAGGATGCCAAGATCAGACTTAAAACTTTGCTAAAACCTCTACAATTAGAATATAATTTAATCCTCCATGTGTCTTCATATCACTGCTGCCACTGTGGTTGATTTGTAGGCAGTGAAACTTGATCAAATGTACTCAACTTGTTGACATGAAAATAACAGGAAGCTACTGTGATATGTCATACACCTGAAGCCATATGTAATTGTGTGTAGTATTGTTTGTGACCCACTATAACCTCGCCCCTTTGCCTTTGTTTTGTAGGTGGCGTTGTTGGGGATTGACATCTGTGGTGCGTTTGTGGACCGCTTGGGAGAGCGATTCAGAGGATACCTGGGCACAGGTGAGATATTAAACCTTACCGCCATCCTGAATTACGTGTAGGTTAAGCTCTATTTACAGTGAAACTCATTCATGAAATTTGTGTTTTGTATTTGTTCTTAAGCTTAACTTAAAGGGGATTTTTCTAATTGTTCTTTCTGAAAAGGCTGAAGTAAAAACAACTTTGATACTCAAAAATACTTTACATGTTATATGACAATTTCTTTGTCCACTTCCATGGAAAACAAGCCTGTTCAGACATGTACCTGTGCAAACCCGTTTAAGGCATTCTATAGCTAACACACACTCCTAATGTGTCATTCTTTGCTAAATGGATTATAAGAATGTCGTTCTTTTTTTCTGTTCTTTTGGCTCAAAGGTAAATGTTCATCCCTTTTTTATTATCTTGAGCAGCGGGTCCTAGTAAAGGATGAGTTCGCCCTCTTGGCTTGAGTCAAAGTAGTTTCTGAAGTGAAACTTTTATAAAATTGTACTCAACAACACTAGGGTATATTGTTATATGTAGTGTGATGGTGTGTGTGTATTGTTGTATAGACTCTTCAGCTTGTGTCCGTCCATTTTGTCTCTCACTTCCACTTTGTGCTTCCTCTGAGACAGACTAGCGGCACTGCTCTAAAGCCTGGCACCACCCCTCTCTATTATACATCCTTTAGTCTCTATATTTAGGCTCTGAATTGTCTGCCATACCGTAGCACTGTCTATTACACTCCAAAACCATATCTCACATTCATATGATCTCATGGACTGAATCTTGTATCAGATTTCATGCTTTGTGAGAGTGTATGTGTTATGCCAGTGCCAGCCTTTACCAGCTTTAGGTGTCACCAGCTGTCTTTGTCAAGCAAACTGGCTCTTGTCCCCAACAAACACACTCAGTCATGCAGTGAAGCTCCAGGATGACTGGACCTGTCAAACTGTGCAAAGTCTGCCACCACATACACACAGGAAAAAAAACACGCTCACTATCTCGCTCACTGTCCAGGACGTTGCCTTAGTTTGGCTCTGTGTGAGAGTGTGTGTGTGTGAGAGTGTGTGTGTGTGTGTGTGTGTGTGTGTGTGTGTGTGTGTGTGTAATGGAAGTGTGAGTTTCAGATTGATGGTAAAAACATCTCACTGAGCCACCGCTGGCTCTGGAACCTCCCTCCCTCCATCTGACTTCCATCTCTCCTTTCCTGCACCCACCCTCCTCCCACACCTACTCAGAGGGGAGGAAGATGAGATCATTTAGACTGAGTGATTGTATTGATCTGCAGGACTGACTCATTTTACACAGCTGCTGCCATTACAGTGTATGTGTGTGCGCCTGTTCTCTTTCAGTCTGTTAACTGTACAGCAAATAAAGAATGGGATATCACCATGGCTCACCATGGCTTGACTTAAGACACCTCTATTTATGCCTTTAAGGCAGATTACCTGTGGTGACATATGTGAGCCCTGGCCTGCATTATTATCATGGTCATACCTCAGTTCTTACCCGCTACGCTTCACCAAGAACACCTCTGCCAAGCTGGACTAGCTAGCTACAGCTAGTTTGCTCTCTGTTTCTTCAGTAGGCTACTGCCTGCTCAAAGTTAGCTTAGCGCCCCCCGTTGGCTGATGCTTCCTCAGCTAGTGAGTGTGGCTGTTCGAGAACTTCATGTTTTGAATTTTGTTTTGTCCAAGAGCTTTGTGTTTCGGAATGAGCACCAAGCCTAAACTGGTGAAAAAGTAGTCTTCTGTTTGCCTCCGTCCTCAGGAGTGCAGTTTCTCTTTGCATGACAAGGACCAGCACGAGGCATGCCCTGTCTGTCTGGGGTTTGTCTGTGCCAGGAGATCGCTGACTGAGCCCGAGGCTTGTGCTTTTTGTTGCCAGCTCTGCCGCTCAACCCTGGAGAGCCGGATCACATTTGTGGAGGAAGGGCTGGGAAAGACTACAGTTGACAAAGCTGGGTCTCCGAATTGGGGGGCCGAGCTTCATCTGTGTCTGACGGCAAGGAGCTTTTGGTCTAAGTTGCTGCTGATATCTGAGCATGTTGAGGGGTTAGCCAAGTTTGAGGCAGCTGGAGCTGCTAGCGACTTTCATAGCTGTAAAGCATTTTCACTCAGTTCTGACAGACCAGTCTCTTAAAGCCACCCATGTCACAGGCCCCATGAACGTGTGTGTGTGTGTGTGTGTGTGTGTGTGTGTGTGTGATCAGTTGTTTATCTGTTTTGCTAATCTGGCCAGGGGCACAGCCCTGTCTAAACATTGGCTTTCTGTCTGGATTGTGGAGGCTGTCTTCCTAGCTTACAGCAGCAGAGGTTTTCTGATGCCACATTGTGTGAGGGCACATTTGACCAGGGGCATGGCAACATCATGGGCTTTGTTTAAAGGGGTGTCTGTAAGTGATGTCTTTGCTGCAGATATTGTTGTTGTGGTTTACTGTGTGGATGTGAGAGACTGGATGTGGCTCAGTCTGTCCTCTCTGCTGGATCTATGATGCACTGGAGTGCTGGAGGTTTAACTCTGGTTCAGTTGCTGCTCTGCAGGGTGTGAATACATGTCCCATTAGATATATGTTGGACTGGGTAAATCGACTGAAAGGCAACAAAATATTATGACTCTAACTTCTGCTCGTGTGTTTTCATCCTTACTACAGCAGATGACGTTGTGTACAACAATGCTCCCCTGTCATTTTTTGTTTCTGTTTGAGGGTATTGTCCTTGTTGCCAAGGTAACCAGCTGTTGTGGTAACATAATGTAGGCATGCGCACACACGGCATGGGAAAAGGACAGATGACATCACCTCCCTCGCTGAAGTTTCACACTAGGAATGTGGGTAGGAGGTTTTGTGTGTGTGTGTGTGTGTGTGTGTGTGTGTGTACATGCTCATGCCCTTCTGCGTGTATCTGTGTTTATCTCACTGCGCGATTCTCAAAGGGCGGTTTTATGCAACTCCAAGTTTAACATTTTCCATTTGATGGTCAAACAGAGAGATTCGCCAAATTTGGCGTTTTATCTGTTTGAACAGGGTTATGGGTCTGACGGTGACAAAGACGAGCCATTTAAACCATTGTGTGTTGTGAATTTTATGACTGTGTAATTTAAGGCTGGCAATGTTTTTGTTACTTTCAGCAAATCTCATGAAAAGACCAAAACCACGTGTTAGTCCGCCTTTTCAATACTCTGACTTCTCTACCATGTCTGTGGCTCTCATCCAGAAGCCCATTAGTTTCTCCTGAAGATGTATATCTTTAAAAACAGGTCACAAATATATACTTTCATTAAAAAAAAAACCAAAAAAAAAACAAGGAAAAATCATTTCTAACAGCTGTAACTCATGTTCGTTATGAGGAACATGAGTTACAGTGTAATGGTTTGTCTCATTGATGTGTTTTTAATAGCTTTTGGCAAACAATGGAAGTCTATAGCTCAGTGGAATAAGATATCATGCTTTGGATACTCTGAAAATGTGGGAACAAATCATTGTTGATTGTGTTGGGGGGGTTTTGTTTGTTTGTTTTTTGTTTTTCATGGAATTTATTGATAATAAGAGAAATACAGGAGATTGCCAGATTAATCGTTGATCTCTGATCTTCACTGAAAATTATTTACCCAAAAGGTGGGTCTTTAGATAGAAAGCTGTTAAGTACCTGTTCATCTGACATTAAAGCTGAAAATACTAAATATTAGAGTAAATCCTTTTTATTTATTTTTTCAAACTTTTTGCATTGTGCATCACTACATTACATACAGGCTACTGGAGCAGTTGTGTGTTTTGATAAAGTGGAAGTGATGTGAAAGCATTTCATGATCTTGACATTATTTTAGTCACGGCCCATTTCTCATTTCCTGTCCTTTACCCTCAGAGCCCTGGTGTTGATGGTGGTTTTTTTGAAAAGTGCTCTATAAATAAAGATTGTTATTCTGCTTAAGCTTTTACATTGCAATGACCTTTTTGTCTCTTTCAATCTTACACACCCACAGACTATAAAGAAACCTAAACATATGTTTGTGGTGTTTTTAAAAGAACACCACTTGGGGGCAGTCTTTATTGTTGATCTAAGGCATTTAAATCTGGTAGAGACTGCAGTGTCATGTAAAGCCTCATTTCTCCTGTAGCCTACTTGATGCAAATACTGCATTTTTCTCATCACCACCCAATCCCTTCCCCCATCTCTTTTTCTCTCTGTAGTTTTGCCAGCTTTGGTGGACAGGCTGGGCGATGGAAAGGACCAGGTCAGGGAGAACAGCCAAGCTCTCATCCTTCGCTGTATGGAGCAGACTGCCTCGCCCATGGTGAGACACACACACAGACACACGTACATAAAGATCAGAGTCTCAGGACTCTGACCAGACAAGGTCCAAGGTATGGATCAAATTATTATTTTGAGTGATTGAGTTCAAGCACCACATGTGACATGACAGATCATTGAGATCTGGATCAAGACTAAACATTGGCTGTTTTTTGAAGTAGTTCCAGGACTGTTTTCAAGTTTATGCACTGACAGTAGATGGTATGGTAAGGTTTCAGCCAAACGGGAACTTCCAGGTCTGAACAGTGAAGCCAATGTGGAAGTGCCTTAAACCTGCATTATTTCTAGTGGCCAGCAGTGGGTGACTCCACCGGCTGCAAAAAACCTCTGATTGTATGTTGGTTTACTTCTTGCTTGATTTATTACCTCAATAAACACTTTCAACATTTTCAATCTCTAGTTTCAAGCCTTCTTAAATACAGCATGATGTTCAATTTGTAAATGATGGTCCCATTTAGAGGATCATAGACGATAAAGTAGGGTATGCTTTAGGGTGTGGCAACCTTGTGAAATAAGTCAATAACATGGCGACCTATCAGGCGTAGCAATGTGTATTTCTCCCCAGCTCCCCCCTCTCATCCAAATATATGGCTATTTTGGGTTCCAAATAATCAACAATGTGAAAACCAATATGCCAAACTCAAGGCTTCAAAACAGCAGTGCACAAAGTAATGGGTGACGTCACAGTGGCTACATATACTTAATTTAGGCTATGTCTGTGGTTTAAACTGTGAAAAACTGTGTTGCATTGTTTTTTTTGTATGCTGTCAGCAGGCAGGTGGTTATTCCAGTTATTCGAAAGTATGTACAATCAAGATGCAAATCAGAGACATCAGACAAATCACAGCCACCTCCACATGAGTAGATACTCACTACAGCTGAGTACTATATGTTTTAGGCTCCCTCTTCTGCACATTAAAGGAATTACACATGCTACATCGTGTTTGTTGTTATCTGCATGAAACACAATTGCACAGCTTCACAGATTGTAGCCTCCTCTGTACTCTGTAATCTGCTGAAACCCCTGATGAGCTCCCTGGCAGATGAACCTTCCTCTGCTCCTTCCTGCTGACACTCTCCTTCTCTCCCTCCACCCCTCATCTCGCCCCTTTCTCTCTCTTCTTCTTCATCCAGTATGTTTGGGAAAGGCTACTTCCTGGTTTTAAGCACAAGAACTTCCGCAGTCGAGAAGGAGTCTGCCTCTGTCTCAGTGCCACGCTCAGCATGTGAGTAACTTCCCCTTCTTCATCTGTATCACTCCCAGGGTGAAATGTGAAACAATGAAGTGTAAAATGATTACATGGAGGCATAGTTTCTCTCTCATCGAGAGAGAGAGAGAGAGAGAGAGAGAGAGAGAGAGAGAGAGAGAGAGACTCATTGATGTCTTGACTATATACAATCTGTATAAAAATGTTTTCAGTTGCCTGAACTCTTACATGGTCTCATGCTCAGCTGTCAACAGGAATGAATAATTGGACTACTACGTTCCAAAGAAAATATGCTGGCCCCTTTAGAACCACTTTTCCAAAGCCACAGGAGGTCTCAGAGATCACATCTGAGAAAAAGAAAATAGTCTATGTATGCTAGAAATAAAAATGATATTTGTATAAAGGCTTGTTGGTAAAAATATCCATAATTTTCTCAGTTTATTAATTACTCCCAATAACTGAGCAATGACTTGCAGATGGTCGACATTAATATGGTTAGCTGCCTATTTATTTTTGGATGTTATTTGGCCTGTGTGTATGGCCTCATGACATAATTTTCATTGTGTTATACGCACATCTTTCTGTCTTCTGCTCATACATTTAGAAATGAGTTTGTTCCCATTTCAACTAATAAGTTATGGTATTCCGCAAAGTCAGGGATTTTAGAGACACAGCTGCTCAAAGTATCATTACACAAACACACCGTATAGACACAAGACTAGACAGATGCATGCTTTGCCTTGTTAGACAGCAGTTCAGTGGTCTGTTTCTGGGTTTTCACTTGTTTATATTATTGTTGCAGTGTCCAGGTCATATATCCCCGGGTGATGTTGTGGCTGAGAATCTCAATGCGTTGCAATTCAAGAAAAAACACGGTTGCAAAGAAGAGCCTGACTAATCATTATGAGTTAATTGCATTTATGTCGGCATCGGCGTTTATAACAGCCGATTTATGATTAAAAAAGAAACTGAGAAACAGATCCTTCACTCGTGTCATGGTTGTTGTATAGTTTGCCCACCAGAGGGCACTCTGCAACTTCTCTGTTTAAAATACTCCCACACCACAAAAACCACAGAAGAAAACAATCAGCTGACTGGAGTCTACCTGGGCATGGACCAAAAAATGACGGAAAGTGGCTGTGTTACCGTCTTACCAGCGAGTTGCTCATTTGTCACGTTAATTACATGACTTAAATAATAATAAAATATAGCTCAGTACTCCATGACCAGACTTGCTAACCCTCCCGTTTTCCATTGCCTTCTCCCGGCTTCTTCACGGTTCACAGCAGTGCGTTTAATGTTATGAAGTTGAGTGATGGAGGCTACCCTGTTGACTGAAGTGATTTTTATAGATTTTTTTTCTGATAAAATGTGGTATTTGTAACGAACGGTCCTCATTTCTCCCTAGTTCATCACTTCTAAATATTCTCTAACATTGCTTACAGCAACTAATGCTGCCTGTTGCTAAATTAGCCACAAAGCTAATGCCGTGTTTATCAGTGGAGGAGCGCAAATGTTAATGAGCTGTTACACTATAAATTTAACATGTTCTTAATATATCTGCCAACCGCTCGTCTGTAGTTACATTCAGCATCTCAGAAATTATTAAACCGGGGGGACATGTAAATAAATGTGAGCTGAAAAAGTATCTAAGACTGCTTGCTGCCAAACAAAGTTATCTATCTCCTCTTTCAGATGTGAAACTTTTTAGTTATACCGTAGTGAAATCTCAAAGTTGCAAGTCCTAATTGTAGACAGTCATTTAGTATTAAATGTATTCAACAGCAGGTCACTGTATGATAGATGGCCTGTTTTAGAGCCAGATGGTGGTTTAGAAATGGTTCTCGTAGCTCGTAGTAAAGAGAAACTAGATGTGAATATGCTACATTGAAAAAGTTGCACCTTCTAGCGCAAATATTTAATGATGTGCAATTTTTTACATGTTAAGTTGAGACTGTAATCTATTTTATTAACATAATCCATTTAGGAAAAGGTTTTAGAGCCCATAAACAGAACAGCTTTAAATATCGAACCTGTTCTAAGTGTGGTTTATATAGGAAAGCGGTCGACTATCCAAATCATTTTCAAAATCAAAATATCTTCTTATAAATCTGCTCTTTTTCACTTTAATATGGGCATCGGCCCCCGAAAACCCTCATTGGTCGGGCTCTAATATTTATTATCTGCAACTTAAATTTAAGTTTTATTATAAATTAACAACAATTTACACAGTTCTGTGTGCGGAAAAAGTTCTATACATCCCAGGGTTCATAAATCCTATAAAAGGATAATAGGAGTGTTTTTCTCATTCTTGAAAATGTGATATGAATGAGGGGCAAGGTTTTTATTAGACCGCCAGATCAGATATTTCAGACTTGCTTTACATTGCCATGAATAAATGTCATCCCTCTCATTTCCTTATCTTCTTGTGACTCTCTTACAGGTATGGGGCCCAGCCACTGAGCCTCAGTAAACTAGTTCCTCATCTCTGCACTCTGACTGGAGACCAGAACCCACAGGTACAAAACGCAGTGAGACACAGTGCTTAGCAATATGACACATGATCAACATACATGTGTCTGTTTATGCTGTAATTTCTCTTTGCTGAGGTCAGTGTGTCTTCTTTGTAGCTAAGCCTGTGGTTTAGCTCTCAACATCCAAAGAGTGTTGGCAGGCATCTCAAGGCAGCTCTGTGGTTATTACTGTTATTAGTGAGGAGATGGGCTCTAAAGAGCCCCCCCACCCAGCCTCACCGCTGAATCATGAGCACCCAACCAGTAACCCACACAACGGTACTAGCTGAATGTGTGTGTGTGTGTGTGAGAGAGAGGGATAGAGAGAGCTTGGTTTAACCTCCTGTGGAGTTGCACCCCAAAGCTGAAATCTGCTCTTATCGTCTACCCAATGATTATCTACCCACATACTGTCCCGACCAATCAACATCCTCACCAGGCCCGCCCACGATCAGTGGCAGAGAATCCCTTTAACAGCATTCCACTACCCAATCACAACAGTGCTCACAGCATAACTAGCAAATCAGATGTCTCACATTAGGGGGATGAGTATTTGCCCTTAGGGGTTCATTTTTTTTAATGTGTTTACATTTGTAGCCTTTAGTGTGTGTAATCCCAGACAGTGAAGGAATGTAATCTGTGTGGAATTAAGGAAAAATTAACCATGATCTTAACAAACACACATGCCCTTTTTTACATACTAGTGCAAATATACTGTGAAAGCCTGTGTGTGTGTGTGTTGGACTTTTTTTAATTGGCTTATGTCTGTTGTCTGTAGGTACGTGAGGCCTCCATTAACACATTGGTGGATGTTTATCGTCACGTCGGAGAGAGGGTCAGAGCAGACCTGGGAAAGAGAGGACTGCCTGCTGCACGGTGAGTTATTTTCTTCACTTCAGTTATTGATCAGCTCTGACTTTGTGAGCACTGGTCATATTTTTGTGTGTGTGTGTGCACGCGCCCACCCGCACCACACCGCACACCATGGATGAGTTGTGTGGCGGGTCTGTGGGTCCCGTGGCCTTGGCACTCGGTCTGTCCCAGGCCACGCCATGCACCATTCTGCCCTTCACACACACAGAGGGACTTTTATCCCTAGCACAATGCTGACTGACTGGGGGAGGAGGGTGGGAGGGGGCAGATGGGGTACAAAGGCGTTGAGCGGAGAATAGAGTTGGGGGGAAAAATTGGAGAAAGTGTGTGTGTGTGTTCATGTCATCTGAAGGGTTCCATAGAGTGGTTTCGTCCTTCTTTGGTCGTCCTGGTTACATGTGCTGGGTTGAGGGTTATTCTAAGCACAAAGTGACCCCCTCTGCCCCCACCCCGGTCCCTCTTTCTCCCATGTGTGAGATCTGAGCAGCAGCCAGTGCTGTGTGCTGACTGCTCAGTATGAGTCTTGCGTCTGTGAATGCTGGCTGTGGCCATGTGTCATGTGTTGCGCATATTAAGCCTGTTTGTCTCCAGTGTAAACACTCTGTCTGTGTATGTGGGGTTTATGCAGACTGCTGTGTGTCTGTCTGCTTTAGGTTATATGTAGAGGTCTGACAGTTGCAGTGATTTAGGTCTGAAACCAATGCTTGTTCTTCTGTAGATGTATTGTACAAATTATATGAAATTCTTTAAACTAGGCATACATTTTTACATGAATTGTGATTTAGCAGAAATATCTCATACATTTTTGTTACTGTCTTTATTGATTATATTGGGGCACTGGTCTGAAGGCTAGTTGTAAGTTGTGTGTGTTTGGAGATGTTTGCTGGTTGGAATGCAGGTCTGCAGCCAGGTTCTCGCTGACCAGATCACATATCAACTCTGTAGAGCTAGCATCAGTAAATGGAGAGAAAAGGGGGTGTCGTGACTGTGAAAGGGAGTGTAGAAGGCTGAGAATAAGAGGTGGAATGGTGGAGAGAGCATTAGAGAAAGCAGAAGGGTTAAAGTTAGAGTTCACCTGAGTACTGCCTTGTATTATATCCTTTAAACACCCATGTTTCCTAACAGAAGGTTAGCCTACATGAAATCTTTGACATGTCTGGATTATAGTAGTTTGTGACACGCACATCAGTAATTTGCCCCTTTAAAAAAAACATACAGTATTACACAAGATATGTTTTAATTTGTTTATAGGAAAGGTTTTTTATTTTTTTAATTTGTGAAGTTTTTACATTGCTAACCCAAATAACTGGTAGTTGGCCTGGAGGCTGTGAGTAATGAGTATAATCACATTTTCATGCAGATCAGAACAATTTAAAGGCCTATCCACATAGAAAGCATTTTTAATATCTGCCGCTCGCCCGTCTCATGGAACAGGTCTGCATCACCCCTGGGAGCCTCCCTGTTTCTTATGCTTAGTCTATTTTTTCCCCCTGTGGCGTGTTTAGTGAAATTGATCAAACAAAGGTTGTAGTTTGTGTGGTTTGAATGGATGAAACCAACCGCTTCAGTAGCTCTTACGTGTTGCTCACATCTCGCTTTTGATATGGAGTCCAAGTATGAATTGTACATTTTAATTATAATTTTTCGTACACAAGCTAATGCAGTTCATTAAATAAACCATTAAAATGTTGGGCGTTCAGTGCAGGTCAGACAGAAGGTATAACCTCCGTGTCTGAAAAGTAAGCTTAATGCATAATGCTTTGAACCTCCATTTTTTTCCTAATGGCCAGCAGGGGGGCTTCTCCACTGGTTGCATAAAGAAGTTCGATTGAATAGGAGTCTTTGACAAAATTACCCTACTTCTCAGTTGATTTATTTAAACACTTTCCTAGTGAGTTTATGATCTCAATTGCTAGGTTCAACTCTTCTTTAATACAGTGTTATATTCATTTTGTAAATTATGGTCCCATTTAAAGTCAAAGAGAGCATTGTGTATCCCTCCCCAGCTCCACCCTCTCATCCAAATATGGTCACTTACATCTGGTTCCTAAAAACCAAGATGGCGACGACCAGGATGCCAAACTCGAGGCTTAAACGGTAGTCCACAAACCAATGGGTGATGTTAAGGTGGTTACGTCCACTTCTTTTATGGTCAGACACTACCTAGATGTCTTTGTTTGTGTTTCTGTTACAGATGACAGTTTATTACTGAAATGACTCCCTGATGTGCAGAGAGACCTAAAACGTAACTTTGTGTTGTAGTGTGTGTGTGTGTGTGTGTGTGTGTGTGTGTATTTCTGAGGTCTAGGATTGATGTTTATTTATTTAAGTACATTTGCAGACTTGAGTCTCTCATTCTATAGACCTGACTCATGCGCACAGTTCGTGTTCAAAAGGGAGATGAACTACCTGAAAGGTGTGAGTCATCTCCGCGGGACCCCGGGTGACCCTTTTTCAATGACTGTTGATCTGTGTCCACAACAGACTGAGTGCTCAGTCTAAAAGGTGCAAGCGTAGTAAAGATAGGATCCTGGAATTTAGAAATGTGAAGTGGGCGGTTGGAGTAAAAAAGAAATGCAAGGGAGGGAAAGAATACAGTCAAGTGGGGTGAGAGGGAGAGACGCAGAGGAGGGGGGAGGAGCAGCCTTGTTTTCTGTCTGCCGCTAGCTGGACAGCCCCTCCCCCTCTGAAGAGTGTGTATGTGTCTGGAAATGAGAGGGAGGTTATGTAAAGTGTAACTGAATCTCTTTTCTGCCTGTCACACAAACTGGCCCACTTGTCTCTCTATCACACATACAGATACCCTGCCTGAGATTTAAATCTGTACCACTGTGGAGTTTTCTCAGTGGGGGTGTGTGCCTAGCATACAGTACGTAGGTGCGACAGTAGGTGGTGCTTCGTCGTATGCCCGTAGCATGCTCTAGTCTCTCGCTGTTGGCTCCTTCTTTCTCTCTCTCACACCCTCCCTCCTCCCGTCTTCATCTCTCTCTCCCTCTCTCCCTCCCTCCCTCTCGGAGCCACTGCACCATGTTGGATACAAAGAGCTGAGGGAAGCCGAGGACTGGAGTGTGTCACTAGCATGGGAGCTAATGCAACGTTGCGCAGCAACGCAGCAACCTATTAATCTGTCCACTGGGATATCCTGAGGCAAACGAGTATTGAAGACTACAGCCTGGGCTACCTCTGAAGCAAATAGGCAAATTAAAATGCTAATGAACTGAATCACATGAAAGCACTGCACGGCTGAGGAGCCCGTTGCAACTCTAATCGTCACTTATCAGGAGCTGCTGAGCTGTCTGGTAGTTGTGGACCAGCACCCAGACCCAAAAGACAGAGAGACAGATTGAGGACGGTGTGTATGACCCTTATTCTTGTGTCCTAAGCTTTTGGCAAGGAGAAAAATTAGGGCATGGTACTAGACGTGTCATTGTGTCTGCGTTGTGTTACTGTCATCCCAGTCATGTGTAACCAATGTGTATCGACACTGCTCAGTGCGCAGGAGTTGTTTGAGGCTATTATCAGTGCGAAGATGTTATTTTCTGTTGACTTGTCTGTGATTGGGATAGATCTTTGTGTTATTAACATGCAGACAGTTTTACCTGTACGTCACATGACTGAGCAGATCTGGCTTTGGATTGTGTGTGTGTGTGTGTGTGTTTGGTGGTGAGCAGGATGTCAGGAGGACTCTTGTCGTGTTGCTGCTGCAGATTAAGGAGTGTGACTGGCTTAACAGACACACCCACCCACAGACACAGACAGACAGGCAGGCTGTCCACATGTTGTTGCTGATGATACTTTCGCTTGAGATTCACAGCCTGTCTTTAGGTCAAAACTGTGAGCTGTATGTGTGTTTGCATCAACCTCTAACCTTCCTTCTTCTCTCTCTCCAGGTTACAGACGTTATTTGCTCGTTTTGATGAAGCCTTGAATTCAGGCAACATGGCTCTCAGCCCGAGTCACGGTCAGTGCCTTTTCTCATTTATTTTGCCACAGTTGTGTTGGCCTCTGAGAGTTTAGTCATGTTCCCAAGATGATTTTACTGTTGTCAGGTATTGTATTTGAAAAGAGCGTGCACGTGTGTGTGTGTGTGTGTGTCTGTTTCTGTGGGTGCTAGTGCGTATCTGCATGTGCTCTTGTGGTTGTGTCAGTTTGTTGCCATGAGCTCCTGTAAGACGACCTAACAGGATTAATGGTTTAATCTCTGTGTGTGTGTGTGTGTGTGTGTGTGTGTGTGTGAGATGCTGTGGGTTTTCCGGCTGAGCCAGACCCGAGCCTGAGGCCGCTGCTGAGTGTTTTGCTGTCAGCAGTAGAGTGGCTGTGGATCTCTGGTAGCCTCAGGAGTTGTTTTGACCATGGAAAGTTAGTCTTATTGATGATACCCTTTACATCATTGTTTCACTTTATTTTCGCTTTTTAGAGTATAAATGTTGGTACAGTAGCCCTTTCAGGATTTACCGACACTGTTCATTGGAATGTGATTTTCAGACTTGATAATTATTAAGTGAGTGAAAAGTGTTAGCTGAATATTGATCCACAAAGTGGTCTATTTTAGGAGTAGGCTAGAGAAGCTGCTTTTGTTTTGCTGTCTCCACCTATAAATTCATTGTTGTATTAGGATAGGATATAGGATGTGATTTGTTCATGCTCATCAGTGCTGATACTGACCTTAGCAGGAGGACTGGGGATCGGCTTTTATGTGACTGATGCAGATTCTTTCACTGTCATAAAATTCAATGTTTCCGCTAGTGGTTGACTGATATGGATTTTTCAGTGGCCAATGCCAATATATAATGCCGACAACAAAACAAAGAAAAGTCATGTATAATTACATTATTCCATGCAGCGTATAATCTAATATACATGGTTATCTTAGCTAGCAACATGTTGTTTTAGATGGGATTTTTATAAATGAATGAAATTGAAACATACATTGGGTTATGCTGTAGATTTCAGAACATGACTTTGGGTGTTTTAATGGAGAGTGGGGTACAATATGTGACGTCATTCAACTACTATATTCTTACAGTATAACAAAATATATTTGATGCCAGCCAGTAATGCTAGATTAGATTTGCTGTTATTTAGGATGGGAGAAAGGTGTTAACATTTAAAAATACGATGGTGACTGAGGACATTTAGGGCTTGAAACAAACTTTTTCACCACCATCCCAAAACTCAAAAGGGAGAGCGCTAATGTTGTTGCAGATGTATCCAGACATTTTTGGTTTATCGGTATTGGCTGATGCCATTTATCTCAAAATGCCAAATAACGGCTGGATTAATCAGTCAGCCTGATTATTGTTTGGGATAAGCAGATACCCAGAGTCATGTAATTTAGTCAACATAAAAAGGAATCCTGTCATTTCCGAACTTTGTCACACCTGATGTATAATTTACTTTGGAACCTAAGTAAAGATTATACGTGAAACAGTTTGGTTAGTAGTGATAATATTTCAAAAGCATGATATGTGCTTACAGGAATGTGTCCCAACCTTTGGTAAAATGAATTCTTACCAGTGTGGATTGAAGTTCAGTTTTGTTCTCTGTGAGCTCAATAATGTCTGTCGTTGGTGTCATTGGCTGTTTGTACCTTTTAGGCTGCCCTGTCACAGTTTCTGTCTAACAGCGACAGCAGTGGTTGGTGCCTTGTCAGCTGATGCAGTCTGTTTACATGGAGAGAGGGAGACGTGGAGAAGAGCTCAGGGCGTGAAGTGGGTGCAGTTGCCATGATGCTGTCTGGTGGCAACAGAGGGAGTGAGGGAGTGTTGCTTATAACTCCCACCTCCCGAGGGTTTAGAGCAAAGTTGTGTTTTTTGGTTCGTGATTGTGTTATAATCAACTGATAATTACTCTGTGTTGTTGTCTGTCATGTGCTTTGCCTGCCATGAAAGCACTGCTTGTTGTTCTGTAGATGGGATCACTTTTTTGGACTATTGGCTTATCACTGTTCATTTATAATGGTAGGACAAAGATAATAAGAGTAAACATTGCAGCAGACCAGTGACAAGTTTAGAGAAACTACCATAGATTGTCAACAAAACATAGAAAGGCTCAACACGTCATTCATTTTGTAGAATTAAGCCCACACAGTTGATTCAAAACCATCCTCCATACCCGAGACACTAAAAATCTTTACCTGCAGTCTAGGACAACTCTCCCGGCTCTCCTGAAACAGCCTAGAAAGCACTGACCCATTTTGACAGTTTTAAAACTATTGCAGCAGCGGTCATGGATCTTGGTAAACCGCTCAGAGTTTTTACATTGTTGCTTGACTAAATTTTGTCTTGTCAAAATCTTTGCTGTCTGACCATATGTGTTGACTACATACACAAACTCCGAGTAAATGTGAGGTGAAAGTGACTACAGATACTCACCAAGGTGAACTTTGGCTGCCACCTTACGTCTACTTAGGCTTCTTTCTTTTGTGTTTCTCAGCTCCTGCAGCTAGTCGTGCGACAGTTGGCTGCTCAGATTCACACAGCTTCAAGTTGTTGGTGCTTGACCGGCTGCATCCCTGTCTAGTAGGGCTGCAACTAGCAGATGATTTCCTTGATTAATCATTTGGTCTATAACATGTCAAAATTGGTGAAGAATGCCCCTCACAATTTATTTTTTCTAAAGCCCAAAGTTTCCTCCTCACATTACTTATTTTTCATAAAAACATGTAAATGGTTTTCTTTTTCTGTTCCATTATCCTATTAGACAGGACTCTTAATCTTTGGGTTTTAGACAGTTGGTTGGACAAACAAGTGATTTGAAGATTTCTCCTTGGGCTTTCAGAAATTGATTGTGAAAAATTAAATTTTTCATTTTTCACCAAACAGTCAGTTAAGAGAAAATAATCAAGAGAGTTATCAATAACGACAGAAAGCTTGCAAGTTGCGCCCTGTTCTGTTTTCTATCAAAGAGGACAAGGAAAAGCATATCGTCAAATCCTGTTAATTGAATTAATATTTGTCAGTTGTGCTTTTAAGGAAATTACTAAATGATTACTTAGTTATCAAAACAAGCTGCAGGTGAATTTTCAATCAACAGATGGTAAAAAAGCAAATTAATCTTTCTGTTGAATAAACAAACGATGTTGCAGTCTGTTATTTTACCCAACTCGTTCCTTCTAAAGTCATGTTTAGCGCTGAAGGTCAGAAATGTAGTATGATGAACAGTCATGAGAACCTACCAAGAATTCAACCTCTGAGTACAGGACACAAACACGCACCACCTGCTAAAACACACGTGCACACATACACACACAAATTTGTTCTTACTTGCCCTTGTCCCACATCTCTTTTAGGCCAGCTCTTGGCGTTTGCTCTAAAGGGTTTACGGCAGCTGTTGCTGAGTTAAAAAGGAGGGAGGGAGGGCAGTGGATTGAAGGAGGAAGCTGACGGAGATCTCTCGCAGTAGGCGAGTCAGAGCGCTGTGCCTATCGCTGCCTCTCCCTGATTCATCATGGCAGAGACAAGAGAGAGATTGAACGAACAAGCAAGAGAGGAAAGGAGATAGAGGAGAAAACAAAGGAGAGAACATAGGGAGAGGAGCGAATAATACAGGCAACAGGAAGTTCGTATCCATAACACACTGTAGCCATGACACTAGGGGATGATGGCAATGGTGTGTGTGTGTGTTTTTAATCTCATCTGGCTGTGCATGCTGGCACACAGACAAAGGCTTGTCAGCATATGGTTGTAGAGTGAAATCAGCTTAAACTCCAAGCATTTTCACCTCAAGTGCTCTGGCTCAGAAATAGGGGGTGTGTGTTTTGTGAGTTTAAAAATGGCTCCAATCACGTGCGTGTGTGTCTTTTTAGATATATCGTACATGTGCAGGAGCATTTGTGCAAAAAAAAAGGGATTTTGTAGGGAGTTTCTTTTTTTAAATTCACATGAAAGAGAGACGGGACATATTTGGGAGAGATGTTTGCTCTTGTAGCCTGAGGCCAGAGTTGAACCCAAGATCAGTCACGGTTAGATGGTACAGCATGCACCTGAGCTGGCCAAGTCAATCACATGCACAAATGGATATTCTTTTGGGATTAATGTACGATTCCTACCCGTTTGGTTTGGAAATTGAAGAAAACATTTTACTTCACTGTGAGGTAGCCTCTCAATCTCAGCTTTTTTCTGTCCCACTTTAACTCTTTCTGTTGATATTAGGTCAAGTGTGTGCCGAGTGTGTGTCATTCCGTGTTTCCACCCTTCCTGATACATGTGGGCTTGGATTTTAAAATAATTTCCATTGATTGATGATTGCAAATTATGAACAAATAATAGCTCACAGCTTGTCTCCCACTTTAGACCAAAATATCTACCACAGTGTGACAGCAGAAAAGGATATTTGATGAGATGGATGTTTAAAATTAGATTTGGTCTCTTCTTTCTGGCTGTTTTGAAAACAACTCCTAAAAATTTTACACAGTGCTGCTTAATGCATCGTGAATGGCGGAACAGAACAGAACATAAACAGACCAGATGATATAACATTTCTGCTTGCTGTGTCATTTAGCACATCCCAAGTGTAATTAAGGAGTGGAATTAGGATGTTGCTAAATGTCATCAAAAATATAAGAAGATATCTTCTGTAAATGAACATACAGAATAACATCAAAAATACAAAATACATGCACCAAATAACCAAACAAACGTAAAGTTCATAATTAATGGTTCCCAATAAAAATAGGAACAAATACTTTGAGAAGACTGACATACTGTCCAATTTCAACATTGACATTACCCTTTCCCTTTACAGCACCTCCCTGAAAGCCCAACCCCACTCTCAGCCAGGCTATAGCATGTTTGGTTCAGCTCACTGCGGTCAAGTGACTCGTCGTCAAAGTCGGTTCTGTTATGTGCTGGAGTTTGGAGCGGCCAACAAAGACAAGACATTTTACACACAAAATATAAATGACCTTATATTACACGTCATATATTGAATGTCTTTTTATTGTATATTATTTTTCAGTTG